TGTTCACCCACTAATAGGGAACGTGAGTTGGGTTTAGACCGTCGTGAGACAGGTTAGTTTTACCCTACTGATGATTTTTATGAGTTACACAGTTGTGATAGTAATTCAACTCAGTACGAGAGGAACCGTTGATTCGGATAGTTGGTTCATGCGGTTGGCTGAGGAGCCAGGGCCGCGACGCTATCATCCGTAGGATTATGACTGAACGCCTCTAAGTCAGAATCCATGCTAGATTTGCGCAGCTGTACTGTTGCTGGTGGTGGCATGTAAAAGTGTTGCTGCCAGTGGTTTTTGGTTTCTCTTCGAGATTTGATGGTGGCGGTGTGTTGTGTGCATTGCTGTGGCAACACAGTCGTGTGTGCTCTGCACTGTCATTTGTTGTAATAGCAGGCGAACAGGAATAGGTGTGCACGCCTTGGTGTGCATGCTCTGCGTCGGAAGTAAGCTTTATTTTGTGCACCCACACGGTGTGTTGCAGCTGCCTGGAAGCGGGCTTGGCTGTGTGTGTGGGTGTGATCTCTCACGAGAGAAAGCGCGCATCTTGAAGGGGTTGATCCTTTGCAGACGACTTAATGGGCGAGGTGTTGTGAGCAGTAGAGTAGCCTTGCTGCTACGATCTGCTGAGACTCTGCCTTGGGCGCTGCGCCAGCAATGGCACAGTCCCGCAGTGGTGAAATCCGCTGTGCCGTTGGATTATTTGGAGTGTGTGGTGTGGTGTTGTTGTGGGGTGTGTGTTGCGTTGTATGAGTGAGTGGATTGTGGGTGTTGTGCTGTGTTGCTGTTGTGAGAGGAGTGTCCGGAGTGGTGTAGAGAGGGGTGCAGTAGTGTTGTGCATTGTGGAGTGATGTAGTGGCGTGTAGTTGTGCTGTTGTGGATGTGAAGGTGCTTCATTTGTGTGTGTGTGGAGTGGGATTGGCCTGGTAGTATAGAGGGTATAGTGGTGGGGTGTAGTGGCTGTGGGAGCAGTGTGGATTTTGTGGGCAGTTTTTGCTGTAGTGTCCGGAGTGGTGGTGAGGAGAGTGATGTCTGTAACCAATGTAGTGTTGAAACGGGGCAGAATGTAGTGCTCTTTTTGTGCAGTGGAGAGTATCCGGAGTGGTGGGCAGTAGAATGATGTGCGTGTGTACTGAATAGTGTGGATCGTGTGAGCAGTGTAGTGTTGAAATGGGCGGAAAAGTGCTTGTTTCTGTGCAATGATGAGTATCCGGAGTGGTGAGCAGGAGGGTGGGACAAGTGTAGTGTGGATGGTGTGAGGGAAAGGAGCTAAATGGTGTAGGTAGTGCCTCAAAGTAAAGAGCAGAGCTACTATGTGCGCCAAAACGCCGCGCTTCCACTGCAGCAGCAGCAGCCAGGGGGCAAGTGCATTCTGCAGCACCCCGCAGC